GAAGCCAACTACTTGAACCTGAAGAGGCCATACACTGTGGCCATCGCCAGCTACCCCCTGGCACAGTTGGACAAGCTGGAGGGCCCAATCCTCAACAAATTTCTAAGCACAGCTAAAGGTAAGGAGCATCACGGAGAGGAGATGGGCAGGAATGGGGGACTAGGATTTGAATAGGTAATCATAAACTGCGATGGATGGCTGCTAAACTGAGCTGGGTCACACGGCTCCAAGACGAGCTGGGACGGACATTTCTATGGTGTGCAAAGCCATACATGAAGGTCCATGGCTTCATTCTTTCAACAAGGATACATCCAGAATGTCTTATAACACAGAAGCCAGAAAGAAGTGAAGAAGCCAGGCTCTAACATCAGACAGACCTTAATTCAAATCCTGTTCTGCTACATTCTCACTGTGTGACCTCATACAAGTCACACACCCTCTCTGGTCCTCAGTATCTTTCTCTGAAAAGGATAGATACTGGCACTGTAGGGCGGCTGTGAAAATTCCATGAGCAGTGTGGGCAGAACAAAGTCCGGCACAGAGTAAGAACTCTCTAAGTGACATTTTTACTTTTATTATCATTAACAATATTGCAGGAATCCTGGGGGTGCTGTTGGGTAGATGTTCAAACCCACAAGCCTCTCTGTGGGTTTTTCTACCCCTTTAAAGATTTCTAACCTCGGAAACCCTATACAGAGTCACTACGAGTCGGAAGCGACTCGATGGCAGTCAGTTTGCCTTGGTGTTTTTGGGGTGCCACTGAAGCTGAGTGATGCAGAATGGGCGTTAACCAGGTGCAGGTAAAGGAAAAGGAGCCCTGGTGGCGCAAGTGGTGAGGCGCTGGGCTGCAAACGGAAAGGTCTGCAGTTTGGGAGTAAAGGCCTCACAGTGTGTTCCCAGGAAGGTAACAGCCTCTGAAACCCTGGGGGGCAGTTCTCCTCTGTCCTGTCGGGTCACTGTGAGGGGGAAATGACTCCATGGCATTCAGCAAAAATGGATGGAGAAAAGGGGCTGCACGTCAGGGAACAGCAACTGCAAAGAGAGGTCGGAATGAAAACATGTAGGGAAGCTGCGTGTAGCACAGAGGTGTTCAAGTTCAAAAACTAGAGAGCGAAGTGGGAATCCTAAGCATTCCCATCAATTGCTATTGAGGTGATCTGGACTCATGACGACCCCACATGTGTTAGGGTCTAACTAGGCTCCATAGGGCGTTCAATGGCTGTGAGCTTTTAGAAGTAGACAGCCAGGACTTTCTTCTGAGGTATCTCTGGGTGGGCTCGGACCTCCAACCTCTTGGTCAGCAGGTGAGTGTATTCATCAATGGTACCATCCAGAGATTCCAGCGTGAGCCTTTGAATTTTCTCTGAGTCATGAGCAGCAAAGGGTTTTCTCTACAGATAGGAACCGCTGGGAGGAGCCCGGCAAGCAGCTATACAATGTGGAGGCCACGTCCTACGCCCTCTTGGCCCTGCTGCATATCAGAGACTTTGACTTTATTCCTCCCGTCGTGCGCTGGCTCAATGAGCAGAGATACTATGGCGGCGGCTATGGCTCGACCCAGGCAAGTGGCCCTACGTGCCCCAGGTCCCTGCATCCCTACCTCCTCTGGCCTCCCACTGCCCCCCTGGAGGAGACACTGAGCCCAGAGGGGCAGATCTGTCCCACAAGCCACGGTGATTGGAGTGGAATTGAGAAATCCATTTTTTCCTTAGTGGAGAACCATGTGTTACTGATGTTATTGATATCGTTGGATGTGTTTTGAGCCTCCACCCCCTCTGGGTGGCTAAATCATGTTTTTAGGGACTAGAGTCAAGTGTAAGGTTCCCCCTGCAAGATTTGCTGCTTAGTTCTACCAAGCGCCATATCTCTCCTGGTAGGATTTATTCCTGATTCTAAGTCCTACTGCAGCCTTATCTGAGCCCCTCTTTCCCAGGTGGGTTCTAAAACCAGCTTCTAGGACCTTATCTCAGTATCTCACAGCCATGGTTTCCAGATCAAGTTCTAGGTCCCTCTGGAGGCTTAGCTGAGCCACAGCCCCCTTGTGGGTTCTAGATCACAATTCCAACAATCTCAGACTCCAGTTTGACCCTCTCCCACTTTGGATTCTAGGTCAGATTCTCAGAATCCACAGGGTCCAGTTTTGTCCTTACATGAATGGGTTCTAGACCCATTATCAGTGTGCAAACCCTCCCTGATTGGATACTCTCTGCCTATGGTTCTAGACCACACCACATTCTCTGTCTTAACTCCCACATTCTCTGGTGGGTTCCAGACATGTTCTCAATATTTTCAAACTGAGATCCGAGACTCTCTCAACTTGGATTGTTCTAGAATACATCCAAGACCCCATACTTACCCACATTCTCTTGCGGGTTCTAGGCCACAGTTTTAGTGTCCTGTTTCTGCTCTGAGCCTCTCTACCCCAAGTGGGTTCTAGCCACTTTCTCTGGTTCCTACTCTCTCCCCCTTCTTACTCTCTGGTGGGTTCTAGGCCACCTTCCTAGTGTTCCAAGCCTTGGCTCAGTACCAGAGGGACGTCCCTGACCACAAGGACCTGAACCTGGATGTGTCCATCCACCTGCCTAGCCGCAATTCCCTGCTCAATCACCGTATCTACTGGGAATCTGCCAGCCTGCTGCGATCTGAAGCGGTAAGTTCTCATGGCCCAGTCTTCCTTGTCTGTTTTGCCCTTCATACCAGCCAGAGATGGCTGGAAGGGCAGGAAAGGGGGCAGCTGGCCACTGCAGCCAGGGGAAGGCTAGCTTCTGAATATACCCATCCTCTTCTGTCTCCCCTCTCCCTGCAGACCAAGGAGAATGAGAATTTTGCATTAACAGCCAAAGGGAAAGGCCAAGGCACCCTGTCGGTAAGGAATGGAGGCCACACCTGTCAGAACCCCCCATCTCTCTCCGGGGGCAGACACCTCATCTCCACACCCATCTTGCCAGGTGGTCACAGTGTACCATGCCAAGCTCAAAGACAAAGTCTCCTGCAAGAAGTTCAACCTTATGGTCAATATAAAACCAGCACCTGTTACAGGTAAATAAAAACCCTGGCCATTCACTGTCCCCCAACCATGCTGAGCACACTGAGCAGAGCCCAGGGAGTTCCCTTCTTATGTTCCTGCCTTATTTCTTCTAGCTAAGAAGCCTGAGGATGCCAAAAGCACCATGACCCTCAACATTTGTTTCAGGTACGAAGCTGGGTACTTGGTTCATCTTCACTATCTCTGTGTTCCGGCAAGTCTTCCTTGAACTGCTCATCTGTGATAGTTCACACTTTCTGAGTTGGTGGTCACCCATTGTGTGTTGAGCAGAACTGTGCTCCACAGGGTTCTCAATGACTGGGGTTTTGGAAGTAGACCACTAGGACTGTCTTCTGAGATACACCAGGGTGGACTCCAACCTGCAATCTTTGCTCTTTGTACCAGCATCACTTCTGTATGATGTGGTCATCTCTTTTTGTTTACAGACTATTCATGTCCAGCTTGTCTATGCAGATGAGACAACTGAAAAGACATGGCTTGTGTCAG